TATTTTGATTTGATTTTGTCCTCATACTCAGATGAACAACAAACCGGGGGGAAGCTTCTCCAGGACCATGGACACTCATCAGTTGATTTGCAGCTGGAGCATTCATATAGTTCTTCTGGAGCAAAGTGGGAAAAAGATGTGAACCCAGTCGAGGGTCTTGTAAGTATTGACACATTTTTCATAGGAGCCCTGAATCACAAGTATTTAAAGCACCTCTCTCTGCACCGCAATGTTTGGGATAAATGGGCTGATTTTGGTCTCCTCTCCTTCCTCATGTTACTAGCATTTTTGCAATTACCAGTAATTATTTCCCCAACATATTTTTATTTTCCTATCTTTAGCTGAAGTACGTAATGAACCAGGATCGCCCATCAGATGAGCTAATAGAAAAGGAGGGAAGTGTATGCCTGACACAGGAGGATTTCTGGCTCTTGGGATTAAATCAGCGCATGGAATCAAACGTAAGTATACAGGTGCTGGTCATAAAATTAGAATATCATGAAAAAGTTGATTTATTTTAGTAATTCCATTCAAAAAATGAAACTTATATAATTCATTACACACAGACTGATATATTTAAAATCTTTATTTCTTTTAATGTTGACAATTCTAACTGAAAACTAATGAAAACCCCAAATTCAGTATCAGAAAATTAGAATATTACTTAAGACCAATAACAAAAAGGATTTTTAGAAATGTTGGCCAACTGAAAAGTATGAACATGAAAAGTATGAGCATGCACAGCACTCAGTACTTACAGTAGATGGGGCTCCTTTTGCCTGGATTACTGCAGCAAAGCAGCGTGGCATGGAGTCGATCTGTCTGTGGCACTGCTCAGGTGTTATGAGAGCCCAGGCTGCTCTGATAGTGGTCTTCAGTTTTTCTGAATTGATGGGTCTGGTGTATCACATCTTCCTCTTCACAATACACCATAGATTTTCTATGGGGTTAAAGGTCAGTTGAGTTTGCCGGCCAATTAAGAACAGGGATACAATGGTCCTTAAACCAGGTACTGGTAGCTTTGGCACTGTGTGCAGGTGCCAAGTCCTGTTGGAAAATTAAATCTGCACCTCCATAAAGTTGGTCAGCAGCAGGAAGCATGACGTGCTCTAAAACTTCCTGTCTGTGCTGACCTTGGACCTCAGAAAACACAGTGAACCAACACCAGCAGATGACATGACACCCCAAACCATCACTGACTGTGGAAACTTGACACTGGATCTCAATCAATGTGGATTATGTGTCTCTCCTCTCTTCCTCCAGACTCTGGGACCTTGATTTCCAAAGGAAATGCAAAATTTACTTTCATCAGAGAACATAATTTTACACCACACAGCAGCAGTCCAGTTCTTTTTGTCTTTAGCCCAGGCAAGACACTTCTGATGCTGTCTCTTTTTCAAGAGTGGCTTGACACAAGGAATGCAACAGCTGAAACCCATATCTTGCATACGTCTGTGCGTGGTGGTTCTTGAAGCACTGACTCCAGCTGCAGTCCACTCTTTGTAAATTTTCCCCACATTTTGGAATGAGTTTTGTTTCACCATCCTCTCCAGGGTGCAATTATCCCTATTGCTTGTACACTTTTTTCTACCACATGGTTGCCTTCCCTTCGCTTCTATGTGCTTGGACACAGAGCTCTGTGAACAGCCAGCCTCTTTAGCAATTACCTTTTGTGTCTTGCCCTCCTTGTGCAAGGTGTCAGTGGTCATCTTTTGGACAACTGTCAAGTCTGCAGTCTTCCCCGTGATTATGTAGCCTACAGAACTAGACTGAGAGACCATTTAAAGGCTTTTGCAAGTGTTTTGAGTTAATTATGCCCCATTTCCATAGCGACGGCTCGGAACGGTTCGACTCGGCTCAGCTTGGTTCAGCTCGGTACATGTTGCATTTCCATATACTTTCAGTAACGGTTCTACTGGGCATGTCCAGAATCCAACTCGCCTTACTAGCTGGTGGTGGTAGTGCTCCATTAAGCTATTTACTAGCCACCACTAACATGTTAGAAAAAAAAGACCCTGAAAAGATTTGCATCAAAAATGCACAATCTCGTAGCTTTGTTGAATATTCTGCTCAGTTTGTGGCTTTTTGACAGACTTTGATGAGAAGAGACCCGGGAAAGGCTGCAGGCAGCGAGGCAAAAGACTCAGGAGAAGTACTGGAGAGTGCGAGCTAGACAACGTGTGAGGGTAAGCTAATGCTAATCTGCTAGTGGGCTATACATACAAAAAAATCAGTGTGTAAAAGTATGTAAATGTCGATTAAATACTGTTTAGTAATACATATGTTGTGTGTGTGTTTCAGATGAATCTCCAGCAAAATAATCACAACAGACCAACAATCTGGGCGTTTAATATATGCAGTAAAATAAGGTGGTTGATTTTTCCCTAAGAGTCATGAATGGTCATAAAGTTAACGGACAATAAAAGGGTTAACCTGGAAGCTTCAGAATTTGTCTAGATAAAACATGTCAGATTAGTGTCACACACACACGGATTGGATAAAATCTGGATTTAGCTCATAATCATGACTTTAACTTGAAACAGGTTTCATATACAGGGTGAGAATTTATTTTTAAGTTTCTGGTAAATTAAAAATAATACAGATT